CATTGATGATCCTTCATTAATTAAAGGGAGGGGGTTTGAATAAATCTTTTGCTTGCTGGGTGCTTCCTCCCTAAATTAACCCCCCCTTTCCCTCAATTAATAAATAAAAATAAATTTAAATTTAAAAATGGTCATCGATGATCCTTCATTAATTAGAGGAGGGTTTGAATAAATCTTCCCCCCTCCAATTAAATTCTACCGATTATTGTGCATCATCAACCACTATGAATGCAATGGAGGCATTGCTGCCTTTTAATATTAAATTAATAGTGTCTTGGGTTTAAGGGTCGCGGTTATTAAATATCTGGGGGTGGTTTGGCCCCCCAAAAAATAACCTGGGGGCGGGGCTTAGCCGGCAGGGGGCGGGGCCTGGCCCCTTTGCAACCTTGTCTCCGCGTTCCATCCGGGAAGCGGGGGGCGGGGCTTAGCCGGCAGGGGGCGGGGCCTGCCCCCCTTTGCAACCTTGTCTCCGCGTTCCATCCGGGAAGTGGGGGGCGGGGCTTAGCTGGCTCTTCCCCAGCCGGCATGTCGGGACCGAACGGAGAGCCGCAGCTCCATCTGGGGCGGGGCGGCGAGGAAGAGGAGGACGGGGAAGAGGAGGAAGGCTTCGGAGAGGCAGGTAACCTTGAGATCCCTTTGCAAGGGCAGATCTCCCCCCCTCCCCCAGTGGATCCCTCTCTAAGGGGGGGGGAGAGGCGGTGGATCTCCCTTTGCTTTCTCCCCCGGGGGAGGGGGATCGCTGGGGATCAAAGCCGGGAGGGGGCTGCAGCTTTTGCAACCTGCCTGACAGCTTCCGAAGGGATCTTCTAGAAGAATAACAGGAGTTGGAAGGGACCCTTGGAGGTCATCTAGTCCCACCCCCTCTTGCTCGAGCAGGAGAGGTTTGCAATGGGCGGCGGCGTAAATAGGATTTACTAGGCGAATGAATGAATGGACCTAGGTTTCTGCCTCTTCAACGTGGGGAAGGGGCTGGGGGCGTGAGCCTTGAACCTGGCAAGGGGGCGATCATCTCAAAAGAGATTGCAAGCTAAGAGAGAGGCTTTAAAAATAGAATCATCTGGTCAGAAGGGACCTCGGAGGTCATCTAGTCCAGCCCCTGTTCAAACCGGGGAACCTTCCTACTGTCCCGGTCAAATGAGTGTCCGTCCGGTCTTCTTTTTGAAAACCTCCGGTGATGGAGCCCCCCCCCCCCAACCCCAGGTAGCAAGGCTAAAATAAATATACTGATTTATTTATTGCAATGACTCCTCTGGTTATTTTATATCCTGTTTTTAATGTGTGTTTTTTTAATGTTTACTATGCTGTAAGCATGGCCAGGGGTTGTTTGTAAGGAGATGGGAGGCCAATAAACTTAATAATGAAATAATTAATTAAAAGAATTAATAATTAAGTGGCATAGATTATGTTCCCTAGTTTGGGTCATAAAAACATCTGCAAGAAAATCCGCACAGATCCCCAAGGACCCTACAGTCCTCCTCCTCTTCCCCACACCCCTTCTAGCACTGAAGATGTTCCCTAGTTGGCTCATAAAACGTCCACAAGAAAAACCCCAAGCTCCCTACAGTCCCCCTTCTCCTCCTCTTCCTCCTCCCCACACCCCTTCTACAACTGAAGATGTTCCCTAGTTGGGTAATCATCTGCAAGAAAACCCCTCACTCAGAGAGAACCAAGGGCCCCAGAGTCCTCCTTCTCCGCCTCTTCCTCCTCCCCGCTTTCTCCTCCTCCTCCCCACACCCCTTCTAGCACTGAAGATGTTCCCTAGTTGGGTCATAAAACGTCTGCAAGAAAAATAGCCCCAGCTCAGAGCCCCAAGGACTCCCTCTCATTTCAACCCCCAGCTACGAATAACCTTCCTTGATGAATTAAAAGAACCAGGGAAGAAAGGGGTAGCTTTCCTTTGGATCTCTTTGAAAGCACTTTGGCTTTTTTTTTTCCCCCTCCTTCCCTTCCCTGGACAGAATACTCCGCCATCAACCTCATGCTGGACCAGATCAACTCCTGCCTGGATCACTTGGAGGAGAAAAACGATCACCTGAACACCCAGCTGAAGGAGCTGCTGGAATCGAACCGGCAAACTCGCCTGGAGTTCCAACAGCAGCAACAACATCTCGGCCAGGATGGAGATCCGAGGAAAGCCCAGCCGGATTCTTAAGGGTCGAAAATCAACTTGTGAGACTTTTAAATTAGGAGGTTGCGGCTCTCTGGCCAATGAGGTTTTGCAACCAGATCCTCTTAAATCCGGCTTTAAAAATAATAATTGCAAAATCTCGTGGCTGATTGGGGAGATCCCCATACTGCAAATTTTGTTCGTGGCATCTAAGCAAGGGTTTTTTTTAAAAAAAATACGTGGTGTGGTTGTGGGAATTGTCACGGGAAGAGGTAGTGAGTGTTTTCCACTGACTTCCATTGAGCGGCCATTTTTTTGGGGGGAAATCTGATTTATGACCATTTTTTCACCCTTACGACCACTGCAGTGGTTAGGAGATTAAAATTCAGAGGCTTGGTCGCAGAGTCTGACATGTTGATCCCCTTTTGCAAACTTTTCACAAACTTTTCACTTTAGAATCTGGTTACTGACTTAACAGCTGCAGTGATTCATGTAATAACTTGGCAAAAAAAGATTGGAAAAATGGGGTAAAATATTCTGAACTGTCTCGCTTAGCAACGGAAATTTTGTTGTGGTCGTAAGTCCTGTAATTGCAAACCTATCTTTATTTGGATAATTGCTGGGAATGTCTAGCGTAGTTTAAACCAGAATGGGTCTGATTCAAAAGACCAACGTTGAGAGGCAAAACAGGCTACCTTCTGCCCCTGAATGTTTGCAAAACATTGTTTCTTTAACCATGGTTTACCACTCCCAGCTGAGTCTGTTGCACAAACCCTGGAAAATAATTTTCTAGCAATTAACTTAGTTAAATCATGGCCTGAGCTTGGTCACTAATTAAACAATGAACAGTGTACAAAATGTCTCAGATTGTCTTTCCTGTTTCAAAGTTTTCTTTTTCTTACCTTTTTTTCCTTCCTTTTTCTTTTCCTTTCTTCTTTTTCTTTCTTTTCCTTCCTTTCTTTTTCGTTTTCTCCTCCTCCCTCCCTTTGTTCTTTTGTCTTTCTTTTCCTTCCTTTTTTCTTCCTTCCTTCCTTTCTCTTTGTTTTCGTTTCCTTCCTTTCTTTTTCTCTTTCTTCCTTTTTCTTTTCCTTCCTTCCTCCTTTTTTCTTCCTTTTTCCTGTCTTCCTTTTTCTTTCTTTTCTTTCTTTCCTTCCTTCCTTTTTTTTTCTTTCTCTTCCTTTTTCTTTGTTTCTTTCTTTTCCTACTTTCTTTTCTTTTTCTTTTCCTTCCTTCCTCCCTTTTTTCCTTTTTTTTCTCCTTCCTTCCTTCTTCTTTGTTTCTTTCTTTTCCTACTTTCTTTTCTTTTTCTTTCTTTCTCTTCCTTTTTCTTTTCCTTCCTTCCTCCCTTTCTTTTTCTTCCTTCCTCCCTTTGAAAAATTACAGTAAGCCCTGCATTGAAGACAGAAAAAAAAACTGCCGGGGGTGTTTTATTTTCTTTTTCTTTTTTTTAATTTTATTTTTAAAACAACCAACTAAGAAAACTAGAACGTTTCTCTTTTCACTAAAAGGTGAAGAAGGGAGGGAAGAAACTCTCAGGGGGGAAAACTACAGGGGAAAAAAAATATATCTTTTGCCTCCGCTCTCATCTCGCCTTGCGACGGCTGGACCGCCGGGGGCCAGAGACCGTCGGCTCTTCAGCCGGCGTGGAAGGCGCCCCATCCTGGCTGGCCGGACCTTCCCTCGCTTCGCTTTCCCCTGGCACAGTTGATGCAGAATCTCCGGCCAGTTTTTGCTGAATTTCCAGGCCAGGCTGCTCTCCCAGGGGGTGAAGTCCGGCCCCTTCCCCTGACTCCTCAGCGCCTGGCCCCGCGGAGCTCTCACTCCTCGGCGAGGAGGGCTCGCTTCTCTCGTCGATGACCAGGACTCCGCAGATATCCTCCGCTTCGAAGTATCCTGAGCACGTCTGGATGACCTCGGGGGACTCGCAAGGGGGTGGGATCCTCCGGGGTCCGGCAACGGCCTCTTCGGGACCGTGCGTTTTGGTCGCAGAGGGGGGTTGGGGGTCGGTCAGCTGTGAGGGGGTCTCCGTAGGTCGGGCCGTGGCCTGGAGCCGGGAGGCCCTGTACCTCTGCGGGCAGAAAAGAACAACCCATAAAATGGCTGTGAACTTGTTGTGGTTCACCGGCAGCCTGTGCAGACGGCAGTGGAATTGGACAGTGGAGAAGAACGGGGACCAGTCCGGGAGTCTGGGGAGGACTTGGCCGAGGGTCCTGCGTCCGATGCAGAGATGGGGCCAGGACCATCTGGGAGTGGGGTGCTGACTCCAGAGCCTCCGGAGTCTGGCATCAGCGAGGCAGAGGAACAAGGGGAGCCTGTTCCCAGTGCCCGTTGCAGCCTTTGGAAGCCGAAAAACAGGCCCGTTTCATCACTTCCGGAACTTCCGGTTTCGTCACTTCCGGTATTTGGAGGCCGAAAAATGGGCCCGTTTTTCAGCCTCCAAAGGCTGCAGAGGCTTCCCTTGAGCCTCTGGGAGGCCGAAAAAGGAAGGAGGGAGGGAAAGAAGGAAGACAGGGATTTGGGGATGGGAGGGAGGGAGGGAGGAAGAGAAGGAAGGGAGAGGAAGGAGGGAGGGAAGGAAGGAAGGGAAGGAGGGAGGGAGGGATTGGGGATCGGGGGGAGGGAGAGAAGGAAGGAAGGGAGGGAGGGAGGGATTATTGGGAAAAGGAGTGAGTGATTGAATGAGGAAGGAAGAAAGGAAGGAATGGAAGGGAGGGAAGGAGGGATTGGAATAAGTGAGTGAGGCAGAAAGAAAGGAAGGAAGGGAAGGAAGGAAGGAATGGATTGGGAATAGGAGCGAGTGAGTGAGTTAGGAAGGGAGGGAGGATGGAAGGGAGGGAGGAAGAAGAGTAGGAGGCAGGGAGGGAGAAGAGAGAGCAAGGGGAGGGGAGGAAGGAAGGAGAGGAAGGAAGGAGGAGAGGGAGAAAGGGAAGGGAGTGAAGGAGAGGAGGAAAGGGAAGGGAGGAAGGAGAAGGTTAAGGAAGAGGAAGGAGGGAGAAAGGAAGGGAAGGAGAAGAGCAAGGAATGGTGGAAGAAGACAGAGAAAGAGGAGGAAGGAAGAGAGAGGGGAGGAAGAGGGAGAAGAAGGAAGGAAGGAAGGAAGGACTAACCTGCAGGTTCTCAAAATGCATCCTGGACTTGCAGTGGGTGAGCCGCGTGGCTGAGTCGCTGGAGTAGAATTTGTGGCACAGCCGGCACAGGAACCCTGCCACGGGCACCAGGAAATCCAGGCCTGGCAGAGGGAGGAAGAGGAGGAGGAGGAGGAGAAGGGAAGGGCACGGATGAAGAAAGCATAAAAGCCACAGGAGGAGAGAATCTTATCCCCGGTAATCCTCCACTTACAACAGTTCACAACCAAAGTTACAACGGCACTGAAAAAAAAGTGACTTAGGGCCGTTATTCAGCCTTACAACCGTCGCAGCATTCCCCACGGTCACGTGGCTTACATTCGGATGCTTGACAACCGGCCTCGTACTTACGACGCTCCCGTAGTGAATGGAGAAGCCAGATTGGCTGTACAGCCGTGTTACTCACTGAACCACCACCGTGATTTGCTCAACGAAGGCGGCAAGAACCATCGTAAAACGGGTCCAAACCCACTGAAGACATGTCTCCCTTAGCAACCAGAGACCCTGGGCTCAAAATTGTGGCCGTAAGCCGAGGACGGCCAAAATTTGGAGAAAGAGGAAAGAAAAATACACACACCCGCGCAAAGATACAACACGGTGTAGCAACTTGCTTCTCTTACCGTAGACCGTATCCGGACAATACTCGGCGTTTCCTCCAGGGTCTTCCACAGACGTTTCTCTCAGCCCAACCTGGGAGGGGAATGAGTAGGGGAGGGGAGGATTGAAACGCCCACCTTTGACTTCGAAGTTCACAAAATAAAGAGGATTTTTTTTAAATGAAAGATTATAATTTAATAAAAGCAACTATTATTATTCTTAGAATGGCCTAACTGCTTTGATGTAAATATGGATATTATTTTATTTGTATCACAGTATGATTAGAAAGGTAATTGAAAATTACCAAGGGGATAAACAATGGAAAATTATAATTTAATATAAATTTATGAATTGCTACTAGAAATATATAATTTGTTAAACACCGCAAATATGATTATTCATGTAATATCTGTGGTAAAAGGAGTGATGGTAAAAACATAGAGATTGGCATAAAAATAACATACTGTAATATCAAATAATCAAGATTGACGATATATGTATTAATATCAAATTTTATAAGATTGTTAATTGCATTTTAGTATGAAGAATATTGTTGTAATTGTTTTAAAATGTAAGACACTCTGGGATCACACTGTTCACACAATTATGTGCTTGTTGAAACACAAAATAAAAAAAGTATTGCAAAAATTAAAAATAAAAACAGAAAAAAAGAGAATTTTGTTTTCGGGTTTTGCAAAAGAGGAGAAGAATTGTGTTCCTAGCATTGGGCTGAACCCTGTGGGGTGAGTGGCTGCAGGAAAGGCTCTCGCCAGGATGGATGTGGATGACCGTTAGTGTTGGTCCCCAGCTCTGGGAGAAAATCCCTAGCTGGTATCTGCAAGCACACTGTATTTGCCGGTGCTTAGCTTTGGAGGAAACGCGGAGGTGTTGTGGCCCACCAGCGGCCAGCGGAGCTGGCGGCAGATTCGGACAGTGAGGAGGTTGGGGAGGAACAGGGGCCAGTCCTGGAGTCTGGGGAAGGGTCTGATGAGTGCTCTGCATCGGAGGCAGAGATGGGGCCAGGGCCGTCCGACAGGTATCAGCTGCCTTCGGAGTTGGAGATTCAGTAGGGGAAGAAGAACAGCTGGAGCCTGTTCCCAGTGTGCGCATGCACAGAGCTGCCAGAAGAAGGGAACAGCTAAGGAACAAGGGTCGACTTGGGTGTAAAGCCACAGGTGGACATGAATGTCCCTTCCCATAGGGAATAAAGAGGAGCGAAAGGGGAGTGGTGTTTGCAGGAGACAATTAGTTCGTTTAATTAGTGTGAAGATCTGTCCCTGACTTCTTGCCAAGTATCGTCTGCTACAGCGTGGCGTTTGGAAGCTATCGGCCTGGCAACTCTCCAAGCCTGGCAATTGAGAAACCTCTTGAAAGACTGTTGGCCGGGACTTTGCTGGAGAGGAATTCAGTGTAAACTAAATAAAAAGAGGTTTTTACTGGGACGAGGAGTCGGCTTCGTGCTGTTGGGGAAGCCTAGGTTAGAACAGAAGGGATTGCAAAAAAATAAAAATAAAAGCAAACAACATCCCTTAAGTCACGGGAAAGAGGGAGATGGAGGAAGAGGCATGATGTAGGACCCCCCCACCCCCCAGACTCAAGGGGGTCTCAGAGGAGGCAGGAAAAACACAACCAGGCTTGCAAAATGCAATTATTGCAGCCTATCTTGAATAAAGCTGATTTTTAGCGTTTCCCGGCCAGCCCCTTCGGCTCTGCTCTCTCCCTCCTCGCGAAGAAACGGGAGCTGCCCTTACCTGTTGATTCACGGCCTCCACTGGATCCAGCTGGGGCCCCTCCCCTGCTTCCTCCTCTTCCTCTTCCTCCTCCTCTTCCTCATCCTGCTCTTCGAAGCATCCCACGGCGTCCACCGTGATCAGCTCCTCCGAGTCCTCGGGGCCGCCCAGGTCTTTCTCGCCCAGCCTCACCTGGCCAGGTGCAGGGGAAAAGAGGGAGTCAGGAAGAAGAGATGGGCAGACAGACAGACGGGCAAGACTGGACTGCCACCACCCACCCACCCTTTTTTTTTTTTTAAAAAAAGCCTCTGACCTCTCTGGTCTTCTGTTTGTGCTCCAAGGATTTCATGTGCTCCACAAACTTGCGTGGCGTTTTGAAGTAGCGGCTGCAGACGGTGCAGAAGGGGCGCAGGAAGCGCTTGGCCAGCTGGAAAGAGAGGGGGAAGGAGGAGAGGGAGGGAGGGAGGGAGGGAAGGAAGGAAGGGAGGGAGAGAAGGAAGGAAGGAGGGAGGGAAAGAAGGAAGGCAGGGATTGGGGATGGGAGGGAGGGAGGAACAGAACGGAGGGAGAGGAAGGAGGGAGGGAAGGAAGGAAGGAAGGGAAGGAGGAAGGGAGGGATTGGGGATGGGAGGGAGGGAGAGAAGGAAGGAAGGGAGGGAGGGAGGGATTATTGGGAAAATGAGTGAGTGATTGAATGAGGAAGGAAGAAAGGAAGGAATGGAAGAAGGGAGGGACGGAGGGATTGGAATAAGTGAGTGAGGCAGAAAGAAAGGAAGGAAGGAAAGGAAGGAAGGAAAGGAAGGAAGGAA